CATGGAATAACAAGTGTAATATCCACTAAAGCAAAGCTTAAGTATATAACACCAACAGAACTATGGTACATTATTGACCTTCAAGCTTTACTCCTCAGTTTTGAATCAAGATTAAGATCAGTAGGTCTCACAACTCCTCTTGTCAACAATGATGGCTCTTACCCTATGGCTAATGCTGTGATGACTCAAAATTTCCATAGAGGTGCACCACAGAACAGAGGAGGTAGAGCTCCCTTCAACCAAAACTTCAGAGGAAGAGGAGCAAGAGGCTCAAATAGAGGAAGAGGAGGCAGATTCTCAAGAGGAAAAATTCAGTGCCAAGTGTGTGGAGTTGTAGGGCACACTGTAGAAAGATGTTGGTACAGGTATGATAGTAGCTATATGGGTAGTGCTCAACAAGAGGCTTCAATAGTCCTTCATCCAACATGGTTACTCAACACTTTGCTCCATCAGAAGCTTCAAATTAAATGAACCAATGGTATCCTGACAGTGGAGCAACCAACCATGTTACCAATGATTTCACCAACTTGAGCATTGCTAGTGAGTATGGAGGAGGCAGAAAGTTGCATATGGGCAATGGTTCTGGAGAAAACATCTCCCACATAGGTAAGTCACATCTAAAAACTTACAATTCCAACATAATCTTTGTTTTAAAAGATCTTTTGCATGTGCCTTGTGTGACCAAGAACCTTTTGAGTGTATCCAAGTTTGCCTTAGATAATAATGTCTATTTTGAATTTCACCCATTTCATTGTTTTGTGAAGGACCAAGTAACTCAGGAGGTTCTACTCCAAGGGGATCTTAACCAAGGACTTTACCAGTTTCAGCTTTCAAACTCAGCTTCACATCCCTCAAAAGCTAGCAACCAACTTCAATCTTTTCCTTTTGTTTCCTTTACTAGTTTTAAGAATCAGTCCACTTTAGAATTGTGGCACAAAAGGCTTGGCCATTGTAATCTTGACATTGTCAAGAAAATTCTCAAATATTGTAACCAACCTTTTGACAATAATGAAATGAATGGTTTATGTTCTATTTGTGTTGTTTCAAAAATTCATAGACTGCCTTTTGTTGATTCAGAAACTCAATATAATGTACCTCTTGAATTGGTTCATTCAGACATATGGGGGCCTTCACCCATTAAGTCCAGAAATGGTCATGTTTACTATGTTAATTTTGTGGATCAATTCACCAAATTCTCTTGGATTTACTTTTTGAAACTAAAATCAGAAGTCCATGATATATTCCTTCACTTCGAAAATATGGCTGAAACTCAACTTGGTCATAAAATCAAAATCCTACAGAGTGATTGGGGGGTGAATACAGATCCCTTACTCCTTTTTTACAAGCCAATGGGATCACTCATAGAGTTTCATGTCCTCATACACCCCAACAAAATGGGACAGCTGAAAGAAAACACAGACACCTCACTGAAATGGGTCTGTCCTTGCTCAATCAAGCTTCCTTACCCCTAAAGTTTTGGGATGATGCCTTCTCAACCTCCTGTTACATCATAAATAGATTACCTACCAAGTCCTTGAAGTTCAAGACCCCCTTGGAAGTCCTCTACAACCATCAACCTGACTTCAGCAGGTTTAAAACCTTTGGGTGCTTAGCTTTTCTATTACTGAGACCCTTTAATAAACACAAACTGGAACCTAGGTCTATTGGTGGGATTTTCATAGGTTTTAGTAACTCTCATAAAGGATATAAAATCTTGTTGCCTTCAGGTAAAGTTATTGTGTCAAGACATGTCTTGTTTGATGAAAGTGTCTATCCTTATACCAAAAACACCAACCTGGAACATGTTAACCCTTACATCTTTCAACCACAATGCATTAATAACCCTCCTATTGTTCAAAACAAAACCTTTCCCACACAAACTGAGAACCCTTCACAAAATCTTGCACCAGAAGTCACAAACTCACCAAGCAGATCACCTTCAAATCACACTTTGCATAGTCCAGCGTCTGTTAACTCTCAATCCAGTCATAGTACAGTTCCTTTAGTTATTGATTTACCTATTGAGATGAATAATACTTAAAAAACAAGCTCATCTTCATCAAGATCATTGAGAGTATCCAACAAGCACCACATGGTTACAAGAGCTAAAGCTGGGGTTTTTAAACCCAGAGCTCTTGTAGCTAACATCCAAGATAGAGAACCAATCAACATTGATGAAGCTTTGCTCTCATCTTATTGGAAGAATGCCATGACAAGAATTAAAAGCTCTGGTAGACAATAACACCTGGGTTCTCACAGATCCACCTGTAAACAAGAACATTGTGGGATGTAGATGGATTTTTAAACTAAAAAGGAACTCTGATGGCACTGTTTCAAGGTATAAAGCTAGGATTGTTGCCCAAGGGTACTCACAAGCTGCTGAATTTGACTTTAGAGAGACCTTCAGTCCAGTGGTGAAGCACTCAACAATCTGAATCATTCTTACTCTTATAGTCCATTGTGATTGGGCAGTAAGGCAGTTGGACATAAACAATGCCTTCCTCAATGGGGAGCTTTCTGAAGAAATATACATGATGCAACCCCCTGGTTTCTATGACAGGACATATCCCAAGAAGGTTTGCAAGTTAAATAAAACCATCTATGGCCTAAAACAAGCTTCAAGAGCTTGGTTTCTCCAAGTGAAGGAGACTCTTACCAAAATGAACTTCAGTAGCTCTCAAGCCGACAACTCATTGTTTTTGAGAAAATCTTCACACTCAATGATTATGATATTGATATATGTGGATGACATACTGGTTACAGGTAGCAGCACTCAAGAGATTGAGCAGGTGGTATCTCAGGTCAGTGCAAACTTCTCCTTAAAAGATCTAGGTGAGATTCATAACGTTCTGGGCATGAAGGTACAAAGGTCTGAGAAAGGTATGTTTTTGTCTCAGCAAAGGTATGCTCAGGATCTTCTATCCAGATTCTCTATGTACAATGCCAAGAGTGCAAGAACACCAATGTCTACAAGTTGCATTCTCAAGAAAAATGAATCAAAAGTTAGTGTGGATGCTACAAAGTATAGAAGAATGGTGGGAGGCTTACATTATCTCACTATCACAAGACCCGAGATAGCCTATTCTGTAAACAAAATTAGTCAATATATGTCTAATCCTAATGATGAATATTGGAAAGCATTAAAGAGAATCATGAAGTATGTGGGAGGCAGCACATCTCTTGGCTTGGAATTCCTAAGGCTAAAAATCTTAATATAGTTGGTTTTTGTGAATCAGATTGGGCAGCTGACTTGGATGACAGGATATCCACAAGTGGTTTTTGTGTCTTTGTTGGAGAAAGTTTGGTGTCTTAGATTTCTAGGAAGCAAAGCTCAGTGTCAAGATCTAGTGCAGAAGCTGAATATAAAAGTCTTGCTCATATAACTTCAAAAATCATGTGGATAAAGAGTTTATTTAATGAACTTCATATTGCAGAACAAGAAAAACCAATTGTATGGATAAATAATATCAACGCAATTGCTATGGCTTCAAATCCAGTTTTACATGGGAGAACTAAGCATGTCGAGCTAGATTACCACTTTGTAAGAGAAAAGGTTGCAGCCAAAGATCTTGAAGTAAGACATGTCCCTACTCAAATTCAGATAGCTGATGTCTTGACAAAGGCCTTAAGTGAACAATCCTTCACCAAGTTGAGAAGAAAGTTGAATGTGGTTACTCAACCTGGTTCGAATTGTGGGGGAGTGTTAGAAATAATGGCTTTACCATGCAGTAAGAAAATGAATTTAAAGTGCAAAGTTAACAGTAACTTACCTCTGCATGGGAAGAGCACGAGCATTGCATGTGGGAACCGTTTTGTCCTCTTGCATGATTTGAGTGAAGAGAGTACAGATGACAGCTGTACATCTACAGCAAGGAAGACCATTGGATCAAAACCAAAAATACCACATGGTCATGACAAATGTCCACAACCTAATTGTTTTCAGTAGTTGGTATAAATACCTCATAGCTGCTAGGTTTAAGACATCTGCATTGTTAAAAATTTGAGCCGTCACGAATGCTGAGAAAATAGAAAAAGATTGCAGTTCAATTTCTTTGTTCATTCTTCATTGTTTACCATGATTTTCATCAGTTATTATTTATAATATATATACTAATGTTCAATTTTTTTAATTCAAAAGATGTCAGATTTCTTAACTCTCTTGCAAAGAGAAGAAGATATGGCAAATCAAGCGGATCCTGCTTTGGAAGATGAGGCCACTACCCCATTGAAGGACAATAAACAATCTGCAAAAGTTGGCGACACTTCAACGGCAAAGAGGAACTTGACCGATCAATTTGCTGATGAATCAGTCACAAGCAATAAAGGAAAAGCAAAGGTTGATGATGATGATGATGGGAACTTGCTTCCGACCAATGGGGAAGAGGATTTTTAGTTGATTGATTCTAGATGAATAAGACATTTAGTTTATTTTGTTTGGTTTGCTTTGATGGTTTTTATTTGGTATTTGGATATTATTACTCACTTTGATAGGCTGCTTGCTATATGATTATTTCATGTTTTTCTCATGATTCTCTCTAGGGAACATATAGTTCTCGAGATTTCGTGCTTGATAATAAAATTTCTTATTTGCTTTAATCATGTGTTTAGTTATGTTTTATTTCATTACTTATATTTTTTTAATATAAAAATTGACTTATAATATTAGTTCAAATTAGTTTGTTAAGTTCCATTATACATACAAAGATTGATAAACATGTAAATCAAAATTAAAGTATTTAATTATTGTCAAAAACGTGCATTTCAATCATGAATATGAGCATATTGTAACTTGCCCGAATTATTAAAATATGTACATATAAATATAAAAAAATTGAATTCATCTCAATTTAAACATTTACTTTTCAAATTATTAAAAAAATAATCAACTATTAAATTACAAATTAAACAGAATACACTATTCTAAACAGAATACCATAGTATAACTTATTCTTTTTTTTTTTTTTTCAGCATTTTATATTCTGTTTAGCATACACGCAATTAGGAAACACATATCCACACGTTTTTTATAAGATATATAATATGTTAGTTATAGATAATTAATCTTACAAGACAAGATACTTTAAACACATATCCACACGTTTTTTATTTAATATATAATATCTTAGTTATAGATAACTATTGTTAAAGATATGTTCACAACTTATTTAATATAACTAGTATGTAACTCGTGCGATGCACGAGCTGTATTTATTTTGGGGAATATTAAAATTTAAAATTTATTAATAAATAAAATGTTCCTCATGTAAAAAAAAATATTATTTAAATTTTGTTGTACACAAATTATTTGTTCAATAACTGAGCAACTTGTCATCCTCACAAACTAATATTTTCAACACTTTTCTATTGCTTACACGCGAAACAAACAACATACTTGTCTGTGACTAAAAATCGATTTCTTTAAGAACATGCCAACGTGCAATAAATGTTGACCTTGAATATTCTTGATCAATTACTTAATATGCTAACGTACAATAAATGTTGACCGTAACTCTTCTTGGCCTATTACTTACACGCGTAACAACATACAATTGATTGTGATAAAAAAATGATTTTTTTTAAGAACATGTCAATGCACATCTCTTATCTATTACTTACACGTAAAAACAACAACATATACTCGGTCGTTCCTAAGAACCGGTTTCTTTAATAATATGTCAACGCACATAAAGAGTGACTCTGATCCTAAATGAAACCCTAAGATTAGAAGTAACTGGTGCTCTAGAACTTAAATGAAATCATAAGATGGATCTTTTTATAATATGATAATTTACTTAGGCAGTCAGACAATGAGATGTTAGTTTAATATCGATTATACTTGATTAGCTATATAATATTCACTAATATTTCTATTTTTTTATACAAAAATACTGACCATGACAGTTAAATGGATCTCCAAAATCAGAAAGAACAGGTGCAGTTGGAAATTAAATGGAAGTCTGAGATTGATCTATTTATAATATGATAATTTATATAACAGTTGGACAAATGAGTTGTTAGGTTATCATTTTAATATTGATTATACTTGATTAGCTAAATAATATTCACTAATATTTTTATAGTATTTTATTTTGTTTAAAAGAACAATAAACATGTATGTTTAAAATATTAAAAACATACAATAATCTGTTATACAACGTGTGTAAGATTATCTAAAATATACTATATTATTTTAAAAAAAAAATATAAGGTCATATTTCTAATTTATTTTATAAGTAAAACATGTCTAAAAAAAAGTTCAACACCAACACATATATACACGACATGTTAAAATATACAAAATAATATATGTGAATAATATGTACTAAAGTCTAAAAAATATTAGTAATTATATCTACAAAAATATGTATGAATAATACGAAACATTAAATATTACATCACACTAATTTTATGAGAGATTATATATAGTAGAAAAAGTTGATTTACTATTTTTATTAGGAGATAATTAATGAAAGTGGCGAGAAATTATTTCTAAATTTGATTTATATTAATTCTTATTATATAGGATTAACATATATGTTAACTTATATGTTACTTTCACGTAAATACTAACATATATAAATTATTTCTAACAATTATTATAAATATGATTGATTCTTAAAATGAATATTTAATTGACAATTATTAATTAAATGTTATTGTATTTTAATTTTTTTTAAAAAAATATGTATGGTAAGTGTATTTCTTAAATTAAGTGTATTAAGTATGCTAAGTATATTTCTTAGATTTATTTAGATTTTTATTCCATATTTTTTTATTGTATTCCTAAAAAAAAACGGATAAAACAGATATGCTAATAAATAGAGATTTTGTTAATTTACTATTTTTAGGCAATAATTAATGAAATTGAGGGGAAAATATTTCTAAAAATAAATTATGTTAATCCTTATTATATATTAATAGATTACTCCTATTTTATATAGAGAAATTATTAACACATATATAGAATAAAGATCACTTCTAATCTTCTTGAAAGAATCGTGATAAACATTATCTCAAACATGGAATACATAAAAATCTTTAACCAATTTTAAATAATTATTACTACAAACTACGAGAATCG